ACTCTTATCACCTCTCCTAGTGGTGGGACTGGTTTTCTTTTCAAAAAAAAAAAGAAAAAAAAAGCCAAAGTTTTCTCCTGGCTCTTCTTTTTTCCTTCTTAATTGATTATCTTTCCTTTTCTTTTTCGTCTTTTTTCTTCTTTATTAAAATTTAACAACCATATATAAAAGCCATGTCCTTCTCTCAATTCACCTTCACAGGCTTCACTACCTGCCTACTGCCACTCCTAAGGCTATACAAGGGATCCCTGCAAGCATAGCTACACCTCAGTGCTCTCACAATGAAGGGGGAGGCGTGTTGGGCCCCACCCGCCCTAATCTGTGGTGGTCAGAGAGTAAAAAAAAAAAAAAAAAAAAAAAAAAAAAAAAAAGGGTGGGCCCACCGGAGGGGGGCAGAGGGCAGCTAATGCAAAGACCGAGAATTTTGTTTGCCACTAGCTGCGCCTCCCATCTCCTTCCCCCGCCCCCATCGAGTAAGCCGGTGTTGACCCAGTGTCTACGGCCAGCACGCTCACACACACCACACGCAACCGCCGCTCAAACACACCACCACACGCAACCCACTCACACACACCCATGTTGGCTAGAGAAGACCCTACCAATACCAAGCAGGAGGAGCAAGCCAACTACCTCAGCAGGTTCACACCAAGCACACCCAAGATGGTGAGTGAGGAGGATCGAACCCTCGACCTCCCGAATGCCACTTTGTGTGCCTGAACAACTGAGCCTAGGCCGCTTGCTCTCTCTTTTTCTCCTTCCAACAGGCTTCAAGCTTGTTCCACAACACAAGTTTTTTTTTTAATTTGAAATTTTCACAAATTTAAATTTTCCAAATTTCAAATTTTCAAATTTCAAATTATAGAAGTACAATTTTTTTTTTTGCTTTATTAAAGAAAGTAGCGCATGCGTCCATCCTGTTTCATTGCAAAGTATACAGCCTGGACCTGTTCCCCCGACTCAACCTTCACCGGCCCGATCTTAACAGACACAAAGTTTCCCTTCTCGCTGAGCCTCCGCTGTATTTTCTGCTCCGGCAATGTCACCTGCAGCACCGACTCCACCGCACCAACCATCGATTGGACGAAATCCTCTCCCCCACTTCCAATAGCCGTGAACCCTCGAAGGCTTGGATACTCGTTCACAGCGCTGTCTAGCCTCTCCCAATCGTTGTCGAGCGTTTCATTCCCGCCGCCTCCGAGAACGAGATTCCTTGTCTGACGCTGTCGACCGTCGGATCGCGACACTTCGGAAATGGCGCGCAGCAGGGCCTCTGGAGGGGGACTCTTCCGCGAGTTTTTGCCCCCTCCTCGCACTCCGACTCCAAACCCTCTAGGAGATGGTTGTCCTCCACTAGAACTGCTTGGGCTAGTCGAAGCGGAAGATGACCCTTCTTCGCCTCTCCCCGCGCCTCCCTCCGCTCCTCGTTGCGCCTCCCCGCCTGGCGCCCACCCGTCGTCCCTTCCTCCACCACTCCGCCGCCGCCGCAATCTGTTGCTGGTCTCTCCACCATCATCGGGTGACCCGCCACCGCCTTCTGCACTCATCATCGTCGTAAACACAGGGCCCCTTCCCCACCCTCTGGTTCGCGTGCCGACCACCCCATTCCTCTCCCTCCTCCTATCCCTCCTTGCACCCCCAGTAATCCCCACAGCACCCACCTCCCCCAGAGACGCGACAGATGCCAGAAGAGAAGAAGAAAGACGAGGGGTTCTTGCCAGGCTCCTCCGCCCGCAGTCGGTGCCGTCCCGCCTTCTCCTTTCCGATGACGCGGGCGCGGGACTTGCCCCCCCTACCAATCGACCCGAGCAGCAGCTCCGCAGCCTCACCGCAAAAGCCGCATGCCACGCACCACCATACGACCGCACCAGCCCCCCTGCCGGCAGTCTGCACGTTCCTTCTGCTCGTGTATAACGGCTTGTACGTCGACTACTGCAGGCCGTTGCCACTGAATTGGGTCCCACAGTGCTACCACCCCCAACCACCTGCACCCCATGCGTCATCATGTTTAGGCTTGTGTCCGTCCCCCACGGTAGCCGCTACACATCATGGCGCAATCCGTTCCATGCAGATGGATCAATCACTCAAACATCAAGCCGCGGCAGATGTGAACTATGTCTGAAAAAAACTCTTTTTCTTCTTTTTCAATCACAACCTTGAGCATCCTATCATGGCAACAGCCCACCAAACCATGGTGGATATATTTGAAGGGAAAAAAAAAAAAGTGTCAAAAATTCTCAAAATGACTCAAAAAAAAATTGTCAGAATGACTCAAAAAAAAAAAAAAAAAAAAAAAAAAAAAAAAAAAAAAAAAAAAA